ACCCGCGTACTCACTATTGACGGAACTGCTATTGCAGGAGGCACACGACGGGGTTACCTCGGGTCACTTCGGGGTAGAAAAAACGCGACAGCAACTGCAGCGGTATTACTACTGGCCGGAGTTGTTGACCGACGTATACCACCACGTGGGCTCGTGTCCTACGTGCAGGTGATGAAGAGCTCGCGAAAAAAAAAAGAAGGCGGGTCAGTTGCAGCCGATCCCACCGCCCGAGCGCGCCTGGCAGCAGGTTGAAAGAATGAACAAAGGTGATTGAACTAACAAGATTGGGAGTACAAGTAGGAAACCCTAGAATGTTGTACCCCCTAAGGCTAAACCCACTATAGCCTACAGAATATAAACATATACAATGTTTGACACACCCCCATAGGCTAAGTGGGAGACAACCAGATGGTCACAAGACCAGTCAAAGCAAATCAAAGCAAAACAAGCTCAGGGTGGATCTCAAGGATACCACACAAATTCCGAGCACAAGCAAGCGGTCACAAGACCAGTTCACATGCAGTTTGATAATATAACAAGAGGTACAGTGATCACAACCTGGCAAGTGTAAGCATGCATGTATATATATAGAGATCACAGTACAAGCAAAGTCAAGAAGTGAGCAAGTGAGGGACAGTAGGCACAAGGCCTAGAACAGTACAGAAACGCTGATGATCACAAGGCTGAAGCGCCTTGGTGAACACATCAGCAGTGTTGGCCCGAGTGGCCACGTAGGTAAGACGAAGCTGACCACGCTGCTGCAGCTCTCGAGCAAGGAAGTAGCGCAGAGCGATGTGCTTCGTTCTGTGCTCCAGTCTGTGCTCCTGACACAAGGCAAGGGCGGCCTTGTTGTCGACGTACAGCACTGGAGGAGAACGAGGCCGCTCTCACAGGTCGGTCAGCAGGTAGGTGAGCCAGCGTAGCTCCTGGGCAGCCATGGTTGTGGCGTAGATCTCAGCCTCACAATTGGAGCTGAGAACTGAAGACGAGCGTATAGAACGCCAAGAAACTGAGCCAGAGCCAAGGCTGAAGGTGTAACCCTGAGACGACCGCTGCGTAGCCTGGTCGTCAGCCCAAGAAGCGTCTGAGTGTCCAGTGAGGACAACGTCGCGCCGTCCTCCAAGCACAAGCCCCATGCCCGACGTACTGCACAAGTAGCGCAACACCCTCTTAGCAGCATCCATGTGCTCTTTCCGGTGACGGCCAGGAGCGACATAGCGTGCTAGGATGCTAAGAGGGTATGCAAGGTCAGGTCGAGTGCAGGTTATCAGGTACATGAGGCAGCCCACAAGCTCTGGATACGGGCCACTCGGCTCTACGGACTCATCCGAAGGCAGAGCTGAGAGCGAGTGACCGGTAGGCAGAGGAGTGGGCTGAGGCGAGGAGTACGTGAAGCGGAAGCGCTGAAGGACCTGCTGCACCATGTGTGACTGAGTCAAGGTGATGGTGCGCTGTGCTCTGTCCCGGGTGATCCGCAAGCCAAGATAGCTTGTCAGCTCACCCAGGTCTGTGCACGTGTGTCTCTTCTGCAGCTCCGACTTCACGTGGGCGAGTGCCTCAGTGTCAGCAGTAGCAAAGACCAAGTCGTCTACGTACACGAGAACGTAGAACGGCGGCAGAGTGGTGTCGGTGCGTAGAAACAGCGACGGGTCAGCAGTAGAAGGAGCAAACCCAAGAGCAGCAAGAGTAGTCCTCAGTGTGTCGTGCCACTCACGGGGTGCCTGGCGGAGACCGTAGACTGGCCGCCGGAGGCTCCACTGGGTACCAGGAGGGAACGACCCAGTGAAGCCAGGTGGGCGGCGCAGCCAGATCTCCTCGTGCAGGGTGCCCTGTAGGAACGCAGTGCTGAAGTCAAGGGAGTGGAGCTCGTAGTCACGCTGAGCAGCGACGTGCAGCAGAACCCGAAGAGTGGTCATCTTCGGGGTCGGGGAGAAGGTCTGGAAGAAGTCAACTCCCTCTCGCTGACTGAAGCCTCGTGCAACGTAACGCGCCTTGAAGACAGGCGGAGAACCCGGCGGCCGCTTCACCCTGAAAATCCACATGCCACTGACGATGTTCGCCCCAGGTGGGGGAACCTCGTCGACGTAGGTGCCTGTGGACTTCCAGGAAGCCATCTCTGCGTCCATGGCTGTCTGCCACTGAGAGGAGTAGAGACCCTCCATCGCCTCTGCGTAGGAGCGTGGGGTCGGGATGTCTGGTGCATCCGGGTCTCCCTCAGGGGCAATCAGCATGGACACGAGATGAGGTAAAGCAGCGGCAAAGCACTCAAACTCCTCCTGTCTGTCCTCAAGGACGTCCGTGCCAAGAGCACACTCACCCCCGACGGACGGAGGACAGACAGACTCAGACTCAGCAACAAGGCTAGCGGCGTAGTCTAGACGACAGGCGGCAGCAAAGTCAACAAGCTCAGCGACTAGAGCAGATGCAGCAGAGGACTCAAAGGAAGGGTCAGTGACAACAGTGGCAAGGAGACGCGCGACAGTAGGACTGGCAGCACGAAGAGAGTCGGACTCCGGGTCCGGACCGTCAGGAAGAGAGGACGCAGGAGGAGACGGCAGAGGGACACGCTGTGGAGCAGAGGAAGGACGTAGGGTCATATAGTGAGTGCCAAGGACAGGAGGAGGACGCTGACGCGGAGCACGACGACCAGCGCGGACAGCGCGGACAGGCGACTCTGGACGCGACTCAGGCGACTCTGGACTAGACTCAGGCGACGGAGGACGAGACTCAGGCTCACGACGCTCCGTAAAACTACCCGTCGGCGCAGTGTAAGGAGAAGGACCAGGCAGCGGAGAGGCAGGCTGTAACTGTGACTGCGACTGGACAGGTGGTGGACTCAGTAGGGGAGGAGTAGGACCAGTAGAGGGCGGGAGACCAAGAACCTGCTGAAGGAGCGGAACGTAGTACGGCCGCGGCCGCTCAGCACCTCCAGCTCCAACCCCCTCAGCAGCTCCAGTCCCAGCAACTCCAGTACCTCCAGTACGAGCACCTCCAGGACCAGCGGCTCCAGCAGCTCCAGCACCAGCAGCACCACCAGCAGCACCAGCACCTCCAGCAGCTCCAGCAGCACCTCCAGCAGCAGCAGTACCTCCAGCAGCTCCAGCACCAGCAGCACCTCCAGCAGCTCCAGCAGTACCAGCACCAGCAGCACCTCCAGCAGCTCCAGCAGCACCAGCACCAGCAGCACCTCCAGCAGCTCCAGCAGCTCCAGCACCAGCAGCACCTCCAGCAGCTCCAGCAGCACCAGCACCAGCAGCACCTCCAGCAGCGCCAGCAGCACCGCCAGCAGCAGCAGCACCTCTAGCAGCTCCAGCAGCACCAGCACCAGCAGCACCTCCAGCAGCGCCAGCAGCACCGCCAGCAGCAGCAGCACCTCCAGCAGCTCCAGCACCAGCAGCACCAGTACCAGCAGCAGCTCCAGCTCCAGGGTCCGCGACACCAGTAGCGCCACTCCGGAGACTGCAGCGCCGAGCGTACCACTCTCGGAGCCGCTGGGGAGAGGGCAGCTCCCGCCTAGGAGGGGAAGTACGAGCACCAGCTCCAGCAGCACCCCTAGCTCCAGAAGCACCTCTCCTGAGGCTGCAGTACTGTAAGTACCACTCACGCAGCTGCTGTGAGGAGAGAGCGCCTCCAGGTGTAGCACGCTCAGTCGCAGCCCCCTCGGGCTCAATACCCTCAGACGTAGCACTCCCAGGCTCAGCACCCCCAGACTCAGCACCCCCAGACTCAGCACCCGCAGGCTCCGCACCCCCAGGCTCAGCACCCCCAGACTCCGCAACCCCAGGCTCCGCACCCCCAGGCTCCGCACGCTCAGGCTCAGCACCCCTAGCAGGACGAGAGTCGACAGCTACCTCGACAGGCTCAACCGGGTCTACCTGGGACACACCTGAGGGAGCGGCACCCTGAGGGGGGAGGGGGTCTACCACAGCAGCACCTGGCGCGAGGAAGAGAGGCGGGGGAGGGAGCGGGGCAGTGCGGTACGGGAAGAGGCGGTAGTAGGGCACCGACTCGTCAAAAGTGACGTCCTGAGAGGGCAGGACACGGCGCGAGGTGGCATGGTAAAATTGCCAACCAGACGCGTCCGGGACAAAGCCAAGGAAGACACAAGGAGCAGCGCGGGAGGAGAGCTTGTCCGCGGACGTATCGCGAACAAAAGCTCGAGATCCCCAGACCCGAAAACGCGACGCATCGCCAACCTCTCCCGTCCAAAGCAGTGTCGGCGAAGTCTCCGGAACGGAGACACGGGGCCAGAGGTTGAGCTGATGCGCAGCGTATCGGACCGCAAACGGCCACAGAAAGTGGGGGGCAGCCGCATGGATCAAGGAGGTACGAGCGACCTCCATGACCAAGCCAATGCGGCGCTCAGCAACCCCATTCTGAAGTGGAGAGGCCGGAAGCGTGAACGACTGCTCAATGCCCTCCCCCTGACAGAAGGCCCTCAAGAGGTCGAAGGAAAACTCCCCACCTCTGTCAGAGTGCAGACGCAGAACAGGAAAGTCCGAGTGGAACCTCTCGCTGAGCTGGAGACGGGCAGCGCGGATCCAAGGGATCAAAACATCCGGGACTTCACCCTTGGTGCGCAAGGGGAAGACCGTGGTGTAGCGCGAGTAGTCGTCAACAACTATCAAGAAGTACCTCTCGTGACCCTGTCCACGAACGCGGGCTGGGCCCCACACGTCCATGTGGAGTGTCTGCAGGGGAGCAGTCGTCGGGGGAAACGAGGAGGAGTGAGGAGCGGCGCGCTGCCGCCCCTCGACACAGGGAAGACAGGGAGGAGCAGGCGAGGGTGGGAGGGGAGGTAGAACCCTGGGATGAGTCCATCGCGGCACCATCTCGTGGCGGGGGGGTGGTGAACCGGACCTTGTTCGCTTCGCCGCAGGGGATTGCATCCTTCTAAAACTGCCGGCTCGCCTTCTAACATTACCCCTGCCACGCCCTTGGTAGCACCTTCACCGCAGGTGCACGAACGTGGTCCGGACGGAGCTGGTGTGTTGCCGGGCATGATTCCCACGCCCTTCCTGGCCACATGCGAGGACACTCACGCCAGTGTCCGTGGAGCGGACACCGTTCTTGGCGGCGATGGGTGTGGAGACGACGTCGCCGGGCGTGCGATGGAGCAAATACGGCTGCTGTGGGCGCACTTTCAAGCGACTCGTGGGACAAAGGGTCCGTCGGCTGCGGCACACGGGGGCGTGCCGAACTTCACCCTTGGCGAAGACCTGCATGCCGCTCTTGCGGGAATGGACGGCGATGCGGCGGATGAGTCGGGCAAAGGAGGCGGAGTTGTAACGCCAGCCGTGGCAGACCAGCCGCAGGTGTGGAGGCCGAACGGCAGGGCTGGAGATGCACCCCAACAGAGTGGGGTTCAGAGGGACGTGTGCGTGGCGACGCAGGCACCAACACGACCCGCCCGAGCTGCCGAAGAGTTAGTGCCGGTTGCAGAGGCATTTGAGCGGCCAAACCGCGGATTCGCAATGAACCGACTGTCAGGAGCTGGGAGGCTGGCGATCGTGGGGAACCACGTGGCTCCCCGGGTGGGCGGTGTTGGCGTGGAGACAGCGACGGGGATGGCCGCGGGGAGCGTAGCGCCTGATGGTGTTGCGTGGGATCGACATGCGCCAGGCATGCAAGGAAGAGGGTTGAAGCGAGAGCGGCCGAGGATGACGATCGTGGTCGACTACAACCCAAACGATGCCAGGCCTGATTTACAGCCGGGAATGCCACCGGCAGACCAAATTCACGTATGTGGGCTAGGCATTCCTGGATGAATGTTCGCACGAGGGCTCGGTGTGCTTGTGCTATTATCGCCTTGGGGTTTGCCCTGTTGTGACCTCCATAGTCAAGTGTCGAAACTGCTCTGTGTCCGTGGCGTCGTGGTTTCCCCCCCCCCCCCCACCCCCCACGTGCCACCCCCGCCCCCCAGTTTTACGCCAAGAAGGCGATGCATTTGCTGTTGCGCTCATGCGCCGCGCATGGCGTAACGCACTGGCCGACGGACGACGAGAGGAACGTGGCCCTTCTCGTGGTGCTCCGGTGCCACTACGACGGCTGTCAGCTAGACGTTGACCGCGCCATGAGGAACCGGGCGTACAGCAAGGTGGTCAACAAGATCTGGTCGAAGTTCATGAGTGACTCGTCGTCGAACGGACGCCGCAGGATCGTGGATGGGCCGGAGATCGAGGTCGCAGCCACCGGCATCTACAAGCTGGAGATAGATATCGACACCAAAAAGGAGCTGCACCGGAAATACGCGCCCAGTGAGTGTCGTGGGTGCAAGGGGGGGATCCCCATGGAGGGCTCACAGGGCAGGGCCTATGTATGCTGGGGCTGCTTTAACCACATCCTTGCCTGCCGCTCCGTGTACAGAGAAGGAGCTTATGCAGCTTGTATCGACATGGAGCTGCGCGAAAGGGGATTTGCGGCCCTTTACCACCAATGTCTTTTTCCAAGCATGCAAGGCGGCCTACCCAGAGTGGGTGTTTGGAGGCAACCTGGTGCTGGTGCCATACCACATCGCCTGGGTCTTGTATTCCGTGAGTGGATTGGTGCTATTCGTTCCGTGTTCTAAGCGGCCCCATGTATCTCACTGACAGTGTTCTGCAATTAACCTGATGGCAGTTTGATTTCGGGATACGCAACTGGAAGACAACAGCGATATGCATGACTCCTAGCCCTCTGGACAACGAGGGGGGGCTAGGTTACTGTAACGAGCAGGTGCTGCAAGTGATCACCCATTGGCTGGGTGTGTCAAAGGGCAGGTGGTACGATCCCGTCGTGGGCGGATCCCGGTGGGGGGCAGAGCATCTGTATGTCAACGCGAATGACCTGGAGGAGTTCAAGCCCGTGCAATATGGGGGAAAGATGGACCCGGGTGGTAACACCGACGAGCCGTGGCTCGCTTGATGTTCTCTTGCCTGCCGTGTCACAGTGGCACTGGGCATGCCTGTCAGAGCATCTATGTGCGGACTGTTATGTAGGGTGCGTAGTGTGGGTGCTGTAACTGTGTAAATATTAGGTGTTTTTAATATTTGTTTGTGTTGTAACTAAGTGCTTTGCAGAATGAATTATTGGCTTTACGTTCTTGGCACTTTCGATGGTGTAGTGGATCATATTGTACCGAGGATGCATAACGTACGTGTACAGTGCGTGCATAATATATTGCATCCGATATAAACGTAACCCCTGTAACAAGTGTTGATGCACTCAATGACGGGGTTTAGGCGGTTTGTGTGCTAGACAGGTGTGACCTAAATCTACCCTCGGAGTGACTTTAGGGTCAGTCTATCTGACCCGAACCTGATTTTTCCCGCCAAATTTTGACCCGTATCTAACCTGTACCTGACCTGTACCTGACCCGAAAGTCACTTCTGGGTGAGCCATTCTGGCCTGAGACTTGCCTAAAGTGTCAGTTCCAAAAGTAACTTATGGGTCAGATTTCCAGATGTCCCCAATCTTGCCCGGAAGTCACCTGGGGGCCCCTTTTGGGTCAGAACATTTTAGAGATGTCCTAACTTGTATACTAATTCTTTGAAATACTACTCCAAAATCTTGGCCAATTTTGTTTCCCAACCAAGCTTCCTAAGGTTGAGGTTTTGTGTCTGTGTTGCCATAGAGGGTTGGAAAGCTCACGGATTTTAAGTCCTTGGTTTTGGTAGGTTCGCACACGGAAGTGACCGTGGTTGTCCTGACCATCACTTTTACGCTCGGTGTCGTGGTTGGCTGGGTCGTGGCTGCCATTTTTACGGGCGTGGTGGTTGACTTGGTGGTGCCTGCCAGTTTTACGGCGGTTGGGGTCGACTCGACGGATTTCTGGAGGTGGTTCACAGTCCCTCCCCCGCCAAGAATGCGCCGCGTGGAGACAAATCGCTTGGATGCTGCTGCACAGAGAACAGCGGAAGTGCTTAGGTCGACAAGGAGAGTAAGTCGAAGAACTAGTATAACCGAATGTAGCATGATATTTCGATGCGTATAGATACCTCATCAAAATACTACCGATTCTGGCTCAGGTAGTAGACTACCGTTCGGAATGCATGATGGCACGAGTATATTCAAAGGAGCGAGCTTACCAGCCGCAACATACGATGCTGACGTCACGAGCAGCAAAAACAGAAGCACCGGCAGCAGCGCCTTGGTGGCAACACCTTGCTTTGTCCGAGCCATTAGTGGCAAAGGCGTTTATCCCGACTCGCAAAAATTGTAAGCGTGAGAGGACAGCAAGAACGGAGTGCTGGCTGGGAAGCTCGTGAAGAATGTAAAATGACTACTGATGAGAATGCGAAATGACGAGCCTGTTATATATGGAGTGGGACAGGTTTCTGTGGAACAGCAGCGGCGCTCGCGCAGTGTTCGGGTCGGGAGTGGGAGTGGGGATCTTGCAAGGGAGAGGAGGAAGACGGCTCTCGGGGAGGTTCGATCTGGCGGGATTATTTTTTTCGCGCCAGGTTGAATGAGGTGTGGGATTTGCGGGTTGCGCATGTTTCGCAGTCGTTGCGAAGACGTAGCGTTCCTCGCGAATTGAGATTTTTCCAACAGCGGCGTATGCGCAAACCCAATCCAGCCCAGATTATGCGCACCCGCGTCGCAGGTTTTTTCGAACATCGGAGAGGCTGGCGCAGGGGATCTCTGTTGTTACAGACCAAATCGCGGGTTCACATTCGCCCCTGTTGTTACAAACCTGTTTTCATGGAGGGTTTGTCATCAATATAATTTTATTACTGGGGGGGCGGGCTCTACTGCTTCTTTTTGCATCTTGCTCACGCCATTATTGATTAATTCACCCATCTCAAGTTGTATGTACGCCCTAGTTATCCACGTTGATGGAGCCCTGATTTGTCTCGTGGCATGGAAAGAGGTATCTCTGTTTTTCCCACTGTACACACTCTCTTGCACCGGTAGTATTTACTTCGTGCATCTGTGTTTCTCGTGCCCATGCTTCCGCACCCCACCACCCTCAGTCTCACACCCAGTACTCTCATCCTCATCATAAGCTGTCTTATTTATGGTCGCTGACCCTTGACCGCATCACCTGGGCATTTTGCTACTCCAACTTGCATCTCATGCCAGTGTGCTGTGCTGCTATATCACCATGTCTCCATGTCACTCTCAATCCGCACATCACTCTCGAACTGATCCCTGTCTGTCAGTCACTCTCACTGACTCAAACTACATCTATAAGTGATATCGTACATTGATTGGGTTGCTGTGCTGTATACACTATATTGGGTGGACGTCTCCAAACGAGGGCCCTTTTGGCCATCCGAGAACACAAAATTGTTGAGCCCAGCTCCTTCCTAACTCCCCTCTCCTTGCTCAATCCAAAATCACTCTGCTTTGTTTGTCCCTTCACCAACACCATTATTCACACCAGCCATAGCGTCTTCGTCCTCTTCACGCACCCCCGCACCCACCCGTTTTCGCAACCCCTCGCCCCCTCTCTCCGCCGCAACCCCCTTTGCTTCTCTGCTGGCCCTCAGTGCTTCCTCCTCCCCCTTCCCTCTCTCCCCAGCCTTCCCTTCCTTCCCTTCCTTCCCTTCTCTCTCCTTCCGCCGTTTCGCCTCCAGAGCCGCCTTGTGCGGTTTCAGGTAGATGCGGTAGAAGGCTGCTGCGAGCACGGCACCGGCAGTGGGAGCAGCCCAGTAGACTATGAAGTGCTGCACCGACATCTCCTGATCCAATGTGTACACCCACCCAAACGCCTGGCGGAAGGGAGTGGGGAGTGACAGGGGGTTGAGAGGCGAGGAGGTAAGGATGAGATGAAGGTGGTTTAGTAGACTGTGAAGTGCTGCACCGACATCTCCTGATCCAATGTGTACACCCACCCAAATGCCTGGCGGAAGGGAGTGGGGAGTGACAGGGGGTTGAGAGGCGAGGAGGTAAGGATGAGATGAAGGTGGTTTAGTAGACTGTGAAGTGCTGCACCGACATCCCTTAATCCAATGTGGACACCCACTCGAATTCCTGAAGGAGGGGAGGACAGTGGCGAGTGGGGAGGTGACGAGAGGCAGACATCCCGATATAAGGAGGAAGGATGAGGTGATGAAGGTGGGAGCCACCCAGTACTCTATGAAGTATTGTAGTGAAATCTCGTGATCCAATGTGTACACACACCCAAACGCCTGGAGGAGCAAGCCCAAACGCCTGGAGAAAAAAAAAAAAAAAAAAAATGATGATTGTTTGAGCAGCCCAGTAGACTATGAATATCATCTCGCACCGACAACTTGACAAAGGGGAGCGCGGTACAATGTGTAGCCCAAATGCCTGACAGAGGGGAGCGCGGTGGCGAGTAGGGAGGTGAGGAAAGACAAAAACCCCGATATGACAAGGAAGGTTGAGATGATGATTGTTGGAGCAGCCCGGTAGGCTATCAAATGCTGTAGTGACATCTCTCGATCCAACGTATACACAAACCCAAACGCCGGCCGGAGGGGTGGGGGGGAGAAGGGAGGTGGAGAGTGACAAGGAATCATGAAATGGGGAAGAATGGATGAGATGAAGGTGGGAACAGCCCAGAAGGCTACGAAGTGTTGCCCTGTCATCTCTTGATCCAGTGTGTACACCTACCTGAACGCCTGCAGGAGGGGAGAGGGGAGGAATAGGGAAGGAGACGAGCAGTGGGGGAAGATACGTGCGGGACAGAGCAGCCCGGTAGAACATCCAGTGCATGGCTGACATATCCTGATCCAACATTGGCACCCACCCAATCGACTGGAGGAGGGGAGTGGGGAGGAGTAACGAGGCGGGGAGTGGTAAGGAATAAGGAAATGAGGAAGAAGGAAGGATGAAATGAAGGCAGGATGAGTGAACCAGGAAGTGCTGCCGTGGCATTTCTTGAACCAGCTGGTGCATTTCTTGAGTGAGTCAGGAGAGAGGGAGGGTGCTTACAAAGAGGGGGTTCAGGGAAGGACCAGAGAAGCGCATGCCAGCAGCAATAGCCACTATTGTGGCTGAGACCATGATGAATTCCTTTAAGCGGTCGCTGCTGGGGCCCAGGAACAGTGTCCACATCACCACCAGGAACAGCAGAAACGTGAGCGTAAACTCCGCTGTCGCGCCGGCCAATACCGAGACGCCAGGTGGCAGCGCGGGCCCGTTGACTGTGTGCTTGAGAGAATCCGGAATGAACGTCCACGTCAGCATGGCACCTATCACCATGCCACCTGCCTGATGACGTGGATGGGAGAGGGAGTGGAGGGGATAGAAGGAAGGGGGGGGAGGAAGGGGGGTGGAAGGAAGGGGGACAAGGGGGTTGGGATGGACAGGAAGGGAGTTGGATGGACACTCTGGGACAAAATTCCACGTCAGCATGGTGCCTATGACGATGCCACCTGCCTGTTGACGTGGATGGGTGGGAGGGGAGGAGAGGGGGAGGCAAGGGGACGGGAGAGGGGTTCGGATGAACCTCGAGAATGAAGCTTCATGTTGTGCGGTGCTGGGAGGTATGTGTCGTGATCCAGACACTATGAGAGCGCACTCAACCCATGCTTGCCAGCTTGTTGTAGGCGTTTCTTGAGAACTCCTGAAAAAACACTTAAAAGAAAGTGCCGTGATCCAGACACTCTGAGAGCCCACTCAACGGATACCCACATGCCTGTCAGCCCTCCCCTGTCCCCTGCCGGCCCTGTGGTCCCTGCCAGCCCTGTGGTCCCTGCCGGCCCTGTGGTCCCTGCCGGCCCTGTGGTCCCTGCCGGCCCTGTGGTCCCTGCCGGCCCTGTGGTCCCTGCCGGCCCTGTGGTCCCTGCCGGCCCTGTGGTCCCTGCCAGCATCTGAGCGTGGCAGGGGGCAGAGGGCTGGCAGGCGGGGAGGCATGGGAAATTTTTAAGACGTATTAGAAAAAGGCTGCCAGTCATCTGTGTGCTGCCAGCACCTGAGCGGGGAGGCGCAGCAGCAAGCTGAGCGCCGTCTCGTCGTCCTCGTCGGCGAGGTAGTTGATGAGGTTCGTGAGCGGGTTATACGACGCCCCCCCGAGCGCGTCTGCCGCTCCCCCGAACCCCGCGACTTGAACGATGGTGATCGCCTGGTGCACACGGAGGGAGAGGCAGGAGAGAGAGGCACGAGTGAGAGGCACTCGGGAGAGACATGAGGGAGAGGCATGAGGGAGAGGCATGAGGGAGAGGCACGAGGGAGAGGCACGAGGGAGAGGCACGAGGGAGAGGCACGAGGGAGAGGCACGAGGGAGAGGCACGAGGGAGAGGCACGAGGGAGAGGCATGAGGGAGAGGCATGAGGGAGAGGCATGAGGGAGAGGCAGGAGGGAGAGGCACGAGGGAGAGGCACGAGGGAGAGGCACGAGGGAGAGGCACGAGGGAGAGGCACGAGGGAGAGGCATGAGGGAGAGGCATGAGGGAGAGGCATGAGGGAGAGGCATGAGGGAGAGGCATGAGGGAGAGGCGGGAGAGGCACGAGGGAGAGGCACGAGGGAGAGGCACGAGGGAGAGGCACGAGGGAGAGGCACGAGGGAGAGGCATGAGGGAGAGGCATGAGGGAGAGGCATGAGGGAGAGGCATGAGGGAGAGGCACGAGGGAGAGGCACGAGGGAGAGGCACGAGGGAGAGGCATGAGGGAGAGGCACGAGGGAGAGGCATGAGGGAGAGGCATGAGGGAGAGGCATGAGGGAGAGGCACGAGGGAGAGGCACGAGGGAGAGGCACGAGGGAGAGGCACGAGGAAGAGGCACGAGGGAGAGGCACGAGGGAGAGGCACGAGGGAGAGGCATGAGGGAGAGGCATGAGGGAGAGGCACGCAAGGTGGCTTCTGAGTCGACTCAAAAGTCAGATGTCACCCCCTCTGAGTTCACTCAAAAGAACCCCATAATCTGACAATGGCGGTCGCCTGGTGCACACGAGTGGGAGTAGAAGGAGGGAGAGAGAGAGAGAGAGAGAGAGAGAGAGAGAGAGAGAGAGAGAGAGAGAGAGAGAGAGAGAGAGAGAGAGAGAGAGAGAGAGAGAGAGAGCCTTAGCACCTAGCCCTCTTCCTCTTCCCTCGGCCCTCTTCCTCTGAGCCTATTTAAGGCCCCTTGGTGCCTTCTTCTCCTCATTATTTCGTGTGTTCTCAGTTTTCGCCGGGAGAGAGCGAGAGAGAGAAGGCCTTAGCACCTAGCCCTCTTCCTCTTCCCTCGGCCCTCTTCCTCTGAGCCTATTTAAGGCCCCTTGGTGCCTTCTTCTCCTCATTATTTCGTGTGTTCTCAGTTTTCGCCGGCTCGCGCCGGCGGCCTTCGGCCGCCGCCGCTCGCAAGCGCGGCCTTCGGCCGCGCGTTTCGGTGGCAAGACATTCACACAAGGAGTTCATCAAGCAAGGCATTCCAAGAGAGAAGAAACCGAGCAACTGGAGAGCATCACCTAACGATCAAGATGCAATACTACACGAGACGCCGCGCTACTGCGTGTACAGGCCAGCCCCCTCCGCCTCAAGCATCGCAAGAAGGCACCCCGCCATCGCGTGGAGAAGTTCCGCCGAGAAGCGAAGAGTGTCAACCGGGGTCCCGTGCTGAGCAGCAGCGTGAAGATCAAGAGCGAGGCGGGGGAAGGTACGGGCTAAGGGCGCTACCCCGGCGGGCGCATCCGACACGGGCGATAAAAGGGGGACAATCTCTCCTGCCCAAGCGACGCACTGTCCTTGGGGCCCTTGAGAAAAACTGCTCGGTGTGTGACGCATGGCCTCACACGCCGCCAGCTGCAAGCTCGCCACCCCCTCAGCCGCCCCCGCCAAATTCCACATCCGACACATACTCAGCGTGGGGTCTCTCCCCGCGCGGCTGGGGAGAGGTGCAGTCGGAACTCCGCGCGGCGAAAACGCCGCCACCAGGCCCGGAGCATGGCCCACCGAATTCAGCGGAGCGGGGAACCCAGGAGCTAGGCGGCGCCCGCGGAACGGCCCCCTCGCCGCTGCAGCTGGCAGATACTCCCGCAATGTCGGCGAGCGCAACGGAGCCGCATCAACCGCAACAGCGCCGGCGGGGGGCTCAGTGGTCACAGACACATGGACATGAGCCGCCGCCCCCGCCGCTTGCACCTCCCGCACCGCATCTGCCACCATATTCCCCGCGCGGTCAGCCGCGGAACCCTGGCCGCGACTACCTCCGCCGCGCGCGGAATTATTCCGCCGCCCACGACGTCCGCCAGAGCCAGCCGACTGAGGGCGAGGCGGGGAAGGTTCCCTGCGGCGTGACTCCCAGCGGCCCGCATGAGCCCCGCGGCCCCGACGGGGAGGCGACGGATGCGGCGACCGCTGATGAGGGGAACGCCGCCGTGGAGACTGCTTTTCCGGCGACCTCTGAGGAGAGCGGTAGCGGCGGTCGCGGCGCCGAAGATCCCGCTGATATTCCTCCCACCTCCGCCGCGACTCGTGCAGCTCAGGGGCGCGATACACAGGGGACGCGGGTCGAGATCCCCGAGGCTGCGGAGACCGACCCCGCTCCTGTCGAGCTGGCTCGGCATTCGACGCGACGACTAGGGGAGCACGGGATTGCTCAGGAGACGCGTGACGATCCGCCCCGCGCAGCGGAAGAGACAACCCGCGCTCAAGACGGCGCACGGGCGCCGACGCAGCAGGACGAGCCTGCACTTGGGGACGCGGAGGTTCATGCTCGGGGTTTGGCTGCGCAACAAGCTGAGCGCTCTCCGCGGTTGCTTCGAAGGCGCGGTCGCGACCCACGGACCCCGCCATCACGACCGAGGCGTGAGCCGAGGACGCCAGAGCCCCGTTTGGCAGGGGAGGAGATCGGCAAAAACCGCACGCCTGGAAGGCACAGCCCAATCGCGGGGAATGGCACACCTGGCGGACGACGAGGAGGCGTGCGAGGAGGTGCCCCAATTCTTCAAGCTGTTAGCCGAGACCGCCGCCCACAGGCTCTTCAACTCTTCAACGAGAGAGAGAGAGAGAGAGAGAGAGAGAGAGAGAGAGAGAGAGAGAGAGAGAGAGAGAGAGAGAGAGAGAGAGAGAGAGAGAGAGAGAGAGAGAGAGAGAGAGAGAGAGCTAGACTTCCAAGAGCGTTACACAGTAAAGCGTTGGATCCACCAGATTTGTGACATTTTAAGAGACCGGTCCTTATGCGCGAGTTAACATGTCGATACATTGCTACATCGCTACATTGTTACATTGCTAAATTGTTAAATTGTTACAGTTGCCTACCAAGAGGAGAGCGACGGAGGTTTTATCGTCCGCGGCGACGTATGGAGCGAGGACTGCCACCGTGGCTTCCGTACACGACACCCCTATCGCATAAACGATTCTGATCATTAGGGGAATTCCGCAGAAGTGGCGAGGGTTAGAACGAGAAAAAAAAACCAGTGGATGATGCCAGGGAAATTCGGATAACAAATTACAATCTCCCCTGTTTCAACTAGACGAAGCGAGTAATAACATGTCGCCTAATTGATCAATTCAGAGCTGCTAGCATCTACCATCATATTTTTTCGTGTCTTCCCAAAGACATATTTTATCGTCTGTTATATCCGTACGTGAAAAGGAAGTCAGTGACGGCCAGCCGAACCACCTTTCCAGACGACATTGAATTCGCCATCCCACACCGCGCTTTCGACGGCCTAGCGGAAAAGTATCAAGGCTTAACTCGCGGTCTAAGATTATGAGGCCTAAGGAACTGAGAACGAGCTCCATGAAGGACGAGTTTAGGTCCTTTATCTGAGACGAATAGCAAGCTAATCAGGGTCGCGAACTTAGCTCTTTGGAGAAAGGGGTGATCCTGATGAGGGTGTGGTTGAGCAGAGGTGGGCTTGCCAAACTCTGGTTGTGCACGGTATTATCTGTTCCAGTAACTTTAATCACGGTGAAGAGTGGTGATTGAACTAGTGCCGAGTTGCGGTGAAGGGTGATGAGAAGTGATGCAGGGAAGTGCCGCTCAACCGTGCCGCCGGGTAGCGCGCTAAAGGAGGCCGGGTATCCACAAAGATACAGTGTTTGCGATTATTTTATTCATAGGTTATTCTTTTCCGCTAACGCCGTTTTTCTGACTTCTGTGCTGTTGTTCAGTGGCTCAGGGCGTGTTCCTACGGGCCCCTATCAGGCCCTCCTCATATCAGAAACAAAAGTATCGAGATTCTCGTTATAAATCACAGCGCGTCAGACTTGAAAACCCTGTTTTGCACGATGTGAATTCGAGCGCGAAATCATTCTGACATGCCACATTAGCAATCCCATTTCACGCAATCCTGCTGAACTTCGTGCGAATGGAGGTCTGTTTTGTCGGGCTCGAGCTTCAATTTTTTTCAGCGCGCGAAATCACCACCGATTTTTTCACGAATGATGGGTTGACTCAATTGACTAGTATGGTTTACACGTTTCATTTCAAACATGCAACTTGTGAAACAATTTTGGGGCACCACAAGAACAATATGATATTGTGGCCGCGTGCCACATCATCCACGCGATTTTTCTCGCACTCTACAGTCCACAAAATTTGTGAAATACAAAGTCGGGTAAAGACGAATGGTGGGTGTTTTAAGCGAGTCTGACAAGAGGCTGGCCTGATAGGGGCCCGTAGGAACACGCTCTCACAAGGGACAACCGATACGGAATTAGGACGCGGTAAAACTAGACGATTGATCGTCAGTCGCGATCTATGTGCGAATTGATTACCCTATTTACTACGCTGTAACCATGCTACAGTACGCTTTTTGCCAAAATGTATGTACAGTGTGCGAATTCGACTGATCACTGATCGCGGGAGATCTGTCAATTGTAAAGGGGGAATCGTTACAACGTCGCGGTCACCACGTTTCGCCAATCGATCTGCACACTCGATTGTGGGGCTCGATATTTGCAGACAATCCTGCGATACGTATTTTCATTTGCACCGCGTCCTTAGCCAATATATCACATAAAAGGGATAGACACCGCATGCCAAAGATGCATAAAGAGTCTCAAATCATACCTGATATGAAAATTGTAACAAAAGCTGGACTATTGCATTTCTTATTGCGACACATGTAGCCTCTACAGCATATGGCATGAACTTATGCAACAAATAGTTTTTATTAATCAGCTGTTTTTTCGCGAACTTTCGAAAAAAAACATGTGTAAGGGTACATTCCGCTCTGGACATGTCCCAAAAGAACATGTCCCAATCGGGTGTACCGCTCCAAACCGAACTAAACCAGAGACGCGAAATTTTTGACAATGTTTGAAACTAGGGTGTAATTCGGTGTAATAAGATGCAGTGCGGTAGAATCGATTGGGACACTTTCTTTTGGGACATGTCCAGAGCGGAATGTACCCTAAGTTAGTATACTTTGTGAGAATAAACGATACACTAATATTGAAAAACGTCCCCCCCCACCAAAACCATGTCGAGTCTCGACACCCGTCCCATGAGCAGCCCGTCCCCCCATTTCCTCCCCCCCCTTCTCCCCTTTCTCTTGTGTGGACGACCCGCAGTCACGAATAGCCCCAACCCACCTCACTCACTTGGTCCCTCCCCCTTTGCACACCCCTCGCTCTCGCCCCTTGCGCCCCTAGGAGATCCTCCCACGCCACATGCACTCCCTCCAGCCAATCCAGCCCAATCCAGCTAGATTTCTCGCGTCGAACACGTCACTGTTTTTCTCGCCAAACTGGAAAGAAGAAGAAAAAAATCAACCCTGATTTCAATTCGCCAACCCTGACAGCCCAGACCTACAATTTCGTGAACCCTGAACATCGCAAGAAAGCTCAGGCTTGGCGTTTTGCGGAAAATGTGCCTTCAGAGTAATTTTTTGGGGGGGGGGGTTGAAAATAGGGTAGCCATATTTGAATCGTTAGCCCTGGCAACAAAGCTGAATCTATGGTTAAATTTGCAAATCACTTTGCAGCTACAGTAACTGTCAATTGCACATACACACCTACCACGTATCTACCACAACTCTGTCAAACTATAATGCTGCTTATGTTGTGTAGGCTGTAGTGGGGTAGCCTATATGGGGTACAGCCCAATTAGGGTTAGTACTTGTACTCAGTTTGATGTCAATGCAATCATTCCTGCTCATTAGTTTCTGACATGGTTTCAGAGCAGTAGGTCCGTAGGACCGTTATTTTTTCGGGCCCACCATTACCTAGTGACCGACTGCGGTTACCGCGTTACCCCACGCCCTGCCCGGCGCTGCGCCGTCAGCGCGCGCCCTGCCCTGCCCTGCCTTGCGTCGCGCTGCCCCGTGCACGCCCTGCCCTAACCTGCGTCGCGCTGCCCCGCGCACGCCTTGCCCTGCCCCGCGTTGCGCACGCCCTGCCCTGCCCCGCGTCGCGCTGCCCTGCGCACGCCCTGCCCTGCCCCGCGCCGCGCTGCCCCGCGCACGCCCTGCCATGCCCCGCGTCCTGCTGCAGCCCGCGCCCTGCTGCCCTGCGCGTCGCGCCCTGCTGCAGCCCGCGCGTCGCGCTCTACTGCTCCGCGCATCGCGCCCTGCTGCAGCCCGCACGTCGTGCCCTGCTGCCCTGCGTGTCGCGCCCTACGGCAGCCCGCGCGCTCTGCTGCCCCGCGCGTCGCGCTCTGCTGCAGCCCGCGCGTCGCGCCCTGCTGCCCCGCGCGTCGCGCCCTGTTTTAGCCCGCGCGTCGCGCCCTGCTGCCCCGCGCGTCCCGCCCTGCTGCAGCCCGCGCGTAGCGCCCTGCTGCCCTGCACAGCGCGCGCCCTGCTGCCCGCGCCGCCCAGGCCGAGCCGCGCCGCCCAGCCCGAGCCGCCCTTCCCAACCCGACCCGCCCTGCTGCTCGTGCTACTGCTGCAGCTGGTGGAGGTGCTGCGAGGAGTGCTGGAGGTGCTGCAGCCTAGCCTCACCGAGCCGCTCTGCTGCTCTTACTGCTGCTGGTGCTGCTCGTGCTACTGCCTTCCAGCCGTACTGCCCTACTGGTCGCGCGCCTCCTTGCTTGCCCGCTATGAATTCACTTCGTAGAAGCGGTGGGAGTGGTGGCGGCGGTGGTGGCGGCAGTGGGAGTGGTGGCGGCCGTAGTAGCAGTCGCTGTGGAGCTGTTCGGTGGGGAGTTTTTTGTGGTGGCCAGATGCAGCTTCAGTGGCGTCTGCGCGAGGCCCTTACGCCCTAGCAGCTTCGTGAGTGGTACGCCAGTAGGTGTGGTGGCGGCGGCCGTAGTAGCGGTCGCGGTGGAGCTGTTCAGTGTGGAGTTTCTGGCGGTGGCCAGATGCAGCTACAGCGGCGTCCGCGCAAGACCCTTACGCCCCAGCAGCTTCGTGAGTGGTACGCTCAGAGTGAGGGGACTTGGAGTACTGTCCGCTGCCCGTACGTCATTCGCACAGGTGATCGGGCTGGTCAGACTTGCGGGACAGTTGGTCACACTCAGGCTCGCTGCTTCGCCTGTCTGAGCGACGCCTGGCGTGCCGTGTTTGGCGACGAGGCTGAGCTGCCCCGCTGGCTAGAGCTGCTTCGGAACAAGGTAGATATCTTTGCTCTAGACTATGGCACTATCCTCACTGCCATGTATGCTTTGACTATTAGTACTCAGGATGACTGTTACTTGTGTGTGCCGCCCGACCCTGGTATAGCGGCTGCTGCTTTAGGTGCTGGTGAGTCTACTATTAGTGCTGGTGAGTCTGCTCTAGGTGCTGGTGAGTCTGCTATCTCTGGTACTGCGTCTGCTGAGGCCTTGCACACCTTCACGCTTGACTCAGGTGCTTCCCGCTGCTTCTTTCGTGACAGCACCACAGTCACACCACTCGCAGCACCGGTTG